GGACCCCTCTGTGCTCCCCCCACACACAGAGTCCGGGGACACAGCTGAGTCACCCCCTACCATGGGCAGGGCCCCCTGTGCCACACAGGCACCCCGCTGTGCCACCACCACTTGCTGCTGGAGACCCTTCTATCCCACAGACCCCTGCCTGGTTATGGGCAAGGACCTCGCCTGCCACCCCCTTGCTACTGCTGGGGACCCACTGTGCCCCCCTCGTGCCACTGCCAACTAGGGGCAGCGACCTCCTGTGCCATCCCCAGGCTGGGGAAACTGCTGTGCCCCCCTATTTCCACTACCAGCTCGGAACAGAGACCTTCCTCTCATCACCTCTGGGCTAGGGACCCCCCGTGCCATCCCCAGGCTGGGGTCACTGTGCCACCCCACTGTTAATGCTCCAGACACCCCAGCTGGGTCACCTCTGCAACCAGGGGCCAAGCCCCAGCAGTGCTGAGCCCCAGAGCCCCCAGGACAGGGTGGGGGCACTCACTGGAGACCAGCCCCCCTAAACAACCGGCTGGAACCAGCACAGGGACAATACCAGTGTCCCCACTCACCCCACGGGGACAGCTGCCAGGGCCCCGCTGTGCTGAATCCCGCCGTAAAAGGAGGGCTCAGCCGCCCTGCATGGCCCTAATCCAGAGAAAGGAGCACATTTCTCCCTGCATCACAGAGCCGGGAGCCCCCACTGCCAGCCTCTCATCTTGGGGGGCCATACCCGCCATCCCCACAGCCAGCGAGGTCACAGCCAGAGCAGGGAGGGAGGTGATGCCAGGGAGAAGCAAGTGCTGCTTCCCCAGGGGCCACCCACACACCCGGGAAGCAGAGGCATGGTCCCAAACACCTCCATTTCCCAGGGAAAACACCTCCATTCCCTGGGGAAATCAGGGTGCCAGCACCAAGGGTATCACAGTCCCTGCCTCGCACAGAGCACCAGGGCTGTGGCAGAGGGCAGGGGAAGGTGATTCCCCCCCCTTGGGCAGGAGAAACAGGCCATTACAAACCAGAGCACTTGTTTGAGTGCTGCTATTTTGGGCCATCGCAGGGGAGGGAGGTGCCATGTGGTCCCCACGGTGGTGGGGAGCATCCTTGGGGTCGGGAACACCGGGATGGGGATCCCGCAGGAGCTGCCCTAGCAGGGAAGGAGGGAGGTGAGGTTGGAGCTGTGCTGGGAGCAGGGGAGCCCCTAAAGGGAGCCCCCCTCCATGCAGCAGCGGGGGCCAAGGGGGGGGTTGGGAGCAGGAGCTGGCAGAGCTCCCAGCACTGGCTGAGCCATGGGATGCTGCCTGCTGGAATCATGCTGGGCAGGGGAAACGTCCCTGTGCAACAGGCATGTGCCCACAGCCCGGGTATGAGGAGCAGGATCCAGCCTCTAGAACCATCCTGACATGACAGGCATGTGCCCACAACCCCTCGATGGGGGTGTGCAGGATCCAGATGATCCCACTGGAGGGGGAAGGAGGAGGGGGGTCGCAGAGGGAATCTAGGGCAGGAGGAGGAGGGGGGAGCCGGGGAGGGAAGCTGGCTCAGCCCGGACAGTCCGGCTGCTGCCGAGGCCGCAGGGTGGGAGCCTGGGGAATGCAGCGCCTCATTGAGAGCAAGCACTGGCAGAGGGGGATGTGGCCCCTGCCAAGAAGGAGAGGCCCTGGGGTGGCAAGGAGCTGTGCCCACGGCCCCGTGACGGAACAGGAGCAGCCGGCACAGGCTGGACAACTTGTCCCCACCCAGAGCACCAGGAGCTTCCTGAATCCACACACCAGGCAGGGTAAACGCCAACAAAACTTTATTCAATAAACAATTATAACATTAGGAACAGAAAGGTTTCAGGCTAGGGGTTTTGGGGCAGCGGCTCAGCAGCTTCCTTGCTGTCTGGCTTCAGGCCCAGGTACCGCAGCAGGCTGTGGAACTCCTGGCAGACCACTGCCACCTCAGGGATGGCTGACAGGACCTGGGGACAGCAGAAGCATTAGTGAGTGTTTGGGATGGGAGATGGTTTTACTGCAGTCACAATAAGGGTAAGCAATGAACCATAAACCTCACCTCTTTCATCTTCTCCTTCATCTCCTCCTGGGTCCTCAGCTCTTTCATGCGCTCTTTCTGGACATCACGGAGCATCGCTTCCTGCAGTGGGAGATGCCTGTCAGGAGCCTGCTCCAAACCTGGGCAGGGATGAGCCCAAAAGGGAGAGGGGAGCCCTGCCCATGTCAGGGGGGGTGGAACTAAATGATCTTTAAAAGGTCCCTTCCAACACAAACCATTCTGATTCTATGACTGGCACCAAGGCAGCCCCTTGGGGCTCTCCATACCTGTGCCAGGCACTTGTCATAGAGCAGCCGTTTCTCATCCCGTTTTTCCAGGAGCAGCAGCCGTAGTTTATCCACCTGCGAAAGGAGTGAGCACTGCTGAGATCACTGTGGGGAAAGAGCCCTGGGATAGGGGGGTGTTACAGGGAGCAAGGTTTGGAGAGCTCTTCTTGTCCAGGGTGGGATTGGTGACACAAGGAATCCTCAGCAGCCCCCTGGCCTCACCTCCTGCCGTAGCCAGACCCGGTCCTGGACGTGGGCAGTGTCCACCTTGGGCTCCTTGTCCCGCATCTCCTCCCACAGCACCTTGGCCTCTGTCTCTGCACGCTGGAGTGAGCGCTTCAGCTGGGAGACCTCTTCCTTAAGCATCTGTGGGGGGAGAGGAGTTGCTGAGAGGGGTCCTGGGACCAGCAGCCCCCCAGCGTGCAGCGCAGCTGTGCCCCCATCACACACCGTGACTTCCCCACTCTTGTCGATGAGTTTCAACATCTTCTCTTCCTGCTGTTTCACCACGTCCTGCAGCTCCTTCTCACTCTGCAAGGGAGGAAGAAGCAGTGTCAGGCAGTGCCCAGCCCTGGACACCCCCAGCACCCTGTGGGGAAGAGGGTTTTCTCGTGTTCAAGAAGGTCAGACGAGCCAGGAGCACCCATGGGGCATCACCAGATTTCTCCGTGTCCTAGATCAGCGCCCGTCCCAGTTCGGCTCTGCCCTGGGGTGAGCGCTGGCCCACTTCTGGCACAGCTCACCTCGATCTTGGTCCTCAGTGCCTTGTTCAGCTTGGCAATGGTGGCAGCCTGGACATCCATCTTCTCCTGGTTCTCCTCTGTCACCATCTCCAGACGGAGCTGCAAGTTGGAACTGGGAGAGGACAGTGGTGGTGAGCGGCTGGGGATCACAGCGGAGCACAGCACCAGGTACCAAACCTCTTTCTGGGCATCCCATCAGCCCCATGGTGTGAGAAGACAACTGTCCAAACCCAGCCAGCTGGAAAAAGCCCATCTAGCCATGGCACGAGAGGTCTAATCCAGAGCTGGGGCAAGAGGCAGACACAGGTAGGCTGCTTGCAGGAGAAGCCATGCCCAGGAGAGTGATGCCCCTGTCTGGCCTTTGATGTGAGCCCCTGCTGAACTCACATCTCCATCTGCAGTGCCTTGAACTCGCTCTGCTCCAGCTCTTGGATGCGGAAGCTCAGCATGGCAAGGTTGGAGACCACAGCTTTCAGCTCTTTCACGCTCTCCAGCAGACTCTCCTCAGGATCTGGAGGCAGGGAAGAGCCTTGTGAGTGGCACAGAGGGACATCAGCCACAGGGGACACAGAGGAAGGCATCCCTGCTCATCACTCTGTGCAGCAGCACTGCAGTTTTGCAGCAGTGTCCAGGGCACGGTGACAGCCCCAATACCTTCTGGCTTTGGTGTGGATGTGAGTTTGTCCTTGGTAACAGCACTCCCACCTCTGGTGGCTTCATTGGCATCTGCGAGAGGAGAGAACAGAGGCTGTGCCCAGCCCTGCACATCCCCCTAGCACGGGAGGGAGCCATCCCCATCCTCATGCCCCAAAACCCAGGCAGGGGGTGCCAGCTCACCTTTCCCTGACATGGCTTTCAGGACGCTGCCCACGAAGGAGCTGCCGGTGCAGTGTGGGGTGCGGTGTGCTGGCGTGCGGAAGGCAGGGGTCCAGGCACGCCGGGGTGTCTGCCAGCCTGTGGCCCGCCCTGCCGGGGTCCAGGCTTTGCTTCTCGACGGGGCATCATCGTTATCCTTCAGAGGGGAAGGAGAGCACAGCACCAGAGTGCAGCTTGTGACTGCCCCCAGCAAGCACAGGGGTCTGGAAGCTACGCCATGGAGAGGCACGGGTGTGTGACTGCCCTTTGTCCCCAGCACGAGGTTCCTACCTGCTCTTCTAGAGCGGCCTTGAGGCAGTCAGCAAGCTCCTGCAGCCGCGTGTGGCACTCTGCAATGTCCTTGGAGCACCAGGAAACTTTGCTCCTCTTCATCTGCACATTGAGGAGCTCAGCCTTGGTGCTCTCTACCTCCTTGCTCAGGGCAGCTTGCTCTTCCCTATGGGATGGCATCAGCCTCAGCAGGAGCAGCATATTCCCCCTCCTTGATGTGGGATGGGGACATTTCCCATGCCAGCCTCTCACCATGAACCAGCAATGGTGCAAATCCTACAGATTTGGGAAGCTTACCCCAAGATGGGGTCTCTGCTGGGCTTCTCCAAGTGTCTCCCACCCACCTGGACAACCACACTTGGCTGGGGCAGAAATGACCATAGCCATGGTCCCCTCTGTCTCCCCCAGCCCCCAGGAAGGGCTTGATTTCCTAAAAATAGAGGGGTTCAAGTGGAGGTGGTGAGTGGGGCAGTACCGCAGGCGTTGGTGGGAATCCATCAGCTTCTCATGCTGCCGGGTACGCTCCTGCAGAGTGGCCTGTGTGGAGTTCAGCCTGGCCTCCACCTCCAGCAGCTGCATGCGGGACATGTTGTTCTCCTGATCAAGGAACTGCAAGAGAGTGGAGGGACATGGCCATGAGCAGCCAAAGGGAGACCCAGGGGGGCCCATTGGGACCCCCAGCACAGACCCTCCCCTGCCTCAGGGTGCTGTTTCCAATCAAGGGCAGCTTTATCCCAGCAGATAACTCCTGGAAACCAGCAGCTTACTAGGGACATAGGACAGGCTGGGAGATGGCTCCATGCCTGCAGGGGAAAATTATCTCCAAGAGCTGCCCAGCCCCCTCCTGGGGAATCACCCGATGGGCAGGATGAAAAGCTGTGCTACGTGCGGGATGTCAACCCGCCCTCGAGGGCTCATCCCCCCTCTGCAGGAGGGCTAATCCTGCTCCTGGCCGGTTGCCAGCATTCTGGAGAGGCCATCATGGGGGCCAGCAGCACTTGACAGTGCGGGCAGGGTCAGGCAGCTCCTACCTCCCGCCACTCAGTGGCCTCCAGCAGCTCCTGGCACAGCTCATCACACCTCCCCTTCAGGGTCTTGTTCTCCAGTGCCAGCCTATGGGGAGGGGATGGAGTCAGGGGGTGCTGCATTTTGGGGGCAAGGGGCGAGAAAGGGCTCAGGACCCAGGGCTCAAACCCACTCGTCCATCTTCTCTTGCTGCTTCTTGTTATCCTGCTGCAGTGCATCCCGCTCCTGCTCCACACTGGCATGATTTGTCATCGCAGAGCTCAGGTCTGCAAGGGACAGAGCCGTCAGTGCAGAAGGACAGGGGCAGTGGGGATGGGGCGGCTACCAACCCCCATGTTACCCACCCCTACCTGTTTCAAGGCGTGAGTTGGCCACCGTCAGCTGCTCCAGCTGAGCCTCCGCGTTCTGCAGGGCCATCGAGGTCTCCTGCAGCTGGTGGGACACCTGTGGGGGCACAGTGCTTGTTTTAGGCTGCTCTTCCCCATGGGGTGCCCCAAATCACCCTGTGCCTTGGACATCACTCAGCACCAGGCACCTCCCTACCTCCTCCTTGGCTTGAAGAGCTTCATCTGCTTGCTGCCTCTTGGCATCCCGCTCCTCCAGGCAGCTCCGCAGCTTGCTGGGCACATGCTCCAGCACAGCCTTGCACCGGGACATCAGGGCCCTCACCTGCTCCCGCTGGGAAGGGAGACAGCACCAGGCAGCTCAGCATGGCACTGCCCTGCTGTGTGACCAGGGACAGGTCTGCAGTCGGGCTGCTCATGGCACAGAGCACTGGCAGGGCAGCAAGGGGCTGAGCCCCCCCCGGGACACCCCTCACCTCCACATTCATGGCTTTCCTTTCCTTCTGCAGATTTTCAAAGGTGACATCTCTGATTTTCCGGAAAGCCTGAGCCTCGGCAGACAGGGATTTCTGTGGGGTAGGAGAGATGAGTCAGCGGTGCCATAGTGGAGAAGCAACATTTAATGGCCAAGTGACAGCCCTGAGGCCAAATTTGCAGTAGCTTCCCAGCAGCAGCACCAGGAAACCTCTGGTGCACCCAAGCCCATCCAAGCCCATCGCAGAGCATCATCCAAGCTCAGGACATGGGGATGCCCTTCCAGCCCCCGATCACCCAGGTAGGGGGCAGCTGGGGGTACCACCCCACTCAGTACCTGCAGGTCGATGGCCTCTGCCAGCAGGGTGCACAGCTCTCTCTGGGAGGCCAAGCTCTGGTCACGGGCACTGATCTGGGCACTGGCGTGGGCACGGAAGGCCTCCAGGAAGCGATAGCCCTGCAAAGGAGAGGATGCTGCCCCAGGCATGCTGCTGCATGAGGGGCAACTCCTGGGAGCCATCTCTGCATGTTGTGCCAGCCTAGGACTCCTGCTCTCAGCGAGACACAGACTGCACCAAAAACCCATCCAGAGAGCTACATCTCCCCACGCAGCCACAGCACCCTTGGCCTTCCATAATGGGTTTTTCCCTTGGGATGCCAGGAGACCCTCACCCCCCAGAGAGGGGCAGAGACACAGGATGCCTTAGCAAAGGCATGAACATAGGAGAGACTGCTCTCAACAGCTCCCCCTTTACCTCCTCCTTGGCTCGTAGGGCTTCATCTGCTCGCTGCCTCATGACATCCCGCTCCTCCAGGCAGCTCTTCAGTTTGCTGGGCACTCTTTCCAGCACAGCCTTGCACCGGGACACCAGGGCCCTCACCTGCTCCCGCTACAGGAGGAGACAGTACTGTGAGACACTGGGGACAGCTGCCGTGGGTGCTGGCAGCGCCAGCATCTCTCAAAACCCAAGGGAAAGGGGAACCAGACTGACGCATCAGGGCTCACCTCCTGCGTGAGGGCTCCCTTCTCATCCTGCAATCTCTGAAAGGCGGCATCCACGAGGCCCCGGAACAGGAGGCACTGGCTCCTCCAGGTGGTCTAGGGAAGGGACAAGGACACTGGAGTTCCAGCAGCACTCCTGTAGCTGGCGCAGACAGCGCCAGGCACATACGTGTGCCCTGCCCAGCTGAGACCCAGCACACTCATTGCATGCAGCCAGTGAGACACACCACGTTCTTGGCAGCCAGCTCCAGCTCCTGCTGCAGATCCTGCTCTGCTCCCCGCTGCCGCTGCAGGGCCGCTGTTTTCTTCCACTGCTCGAGGTAGAGGTGGTGGTAAATCTCCTCCTCCTAAGGGCATCCAGCAGAGCAGAGAGGGCTTAGCACCAGCCCCACTCTACCCTGGGTCCAGCAAGAGCTGGTCAGCCATGACATCTTCCATCCTCCCTCTGCATGTGCCAGGGATGTTTCCCCCCACAAGGGTCCAAATCCAGCAAACTCAGCGGGTTGATCCGGGCGTGATAATGCAGCAACCGGGCATGTGATGCTGTGCTGCAGCAGCCCTGCTTTACTTCCACTCCACTGGGCTGAAGCCCAGCCGGGGTCACCGTCTCGCCAGCGGCACATGGGCACTGTCACGGCACCGAGGCTGCAGGGAACGGGGTGGCATCACCTCGGAGAGGACTCTTACCCCTTCAGGGCGGGTGATGTCCGTCTGTGTGATCGCGTCCCGCTGCTCAGCCGGCCCCACACCAGGCAGCAACCGCTGGCTCCCCTGCAAGCCCCGCAGCTGGAGCGCCAGGGCTTCGATGATGATGAGTGTGCTCTCCAGCCGCCCCTCCAGCTCTGCTCGTGGCAGGGTCTTCAGCTCCTCCGGGGGACAGCTGGGGACAGAGAGAGGGCTTAGGGCAGGGACAGCCCACAGGTGCCACAGCCCCAGCCAGGGGGGTATGTCCTCATACTTACCGCCAGAGCAAGGAGTCTGTTTCCGTAGCACTGTCCTTGGCACAGAGCAGGCCTCCCCCAGATCTGTTTATGCTCCTTTCCCACAGGTCCTGGATGGTCACGAAGGTGCCAGCAACCCCGCTGGCCACAGGGGTCGTGCTGGTGCCAGCCACCACGCTGGCCACAGGGGTCTTGCTGGTGCCAGCCACCACGCTGGCCACAGGGGTCTTGCTGGTGCCAGCCACCACGCTGGCCACAGGGGTCTTGCTGGTGCCAGCCACCACGCT